ATATATATATATATATATATATATATATATATATATATATATATATATATATATATATATATATATATATATATATATATATATATATATATATATATATATATATATATATGTATATATATATATATATATAAACAATAGTTAGGGACATTTACAAACAGTTACAAACTGATTATGCGTAAAGACCTACGATGGTATAAAAAAATTATTGTAAAATAATAATAAAAATATATATTTTTTTATAAATTTTTTTTTTTTAAATATATATAATTATATTTAAAGTTTATATAATAGGCAATCATAACAAAGTTGTAAATTAAATCAATAATATTAGTAGTTAAATAGTAAAAATAATACCAGCAATAATAATATCAAAGGTGTAGTAAGATAATAATGTATTATTAGTAAGAAGAAGAAAAAGTTGATAGAAAGTTAAGCATATATATGGTTTTAAATTTTTTATTAATTAATTTTTTTTTTTCAAACGTCGGAATAGATTTTTGATTGAATCATCTACCGTCAATTAAAGTAACGCTTTTAAGGCTCACCAACGGAATATATAAACTAAAAATTTAAAATACCGTAAACCGGGTACGTTGCTTTTAAGTTTTAAAATAAAAATAGTTAAGTGCATTCCCAGTAAGCACAAAGACGTTTAAAAGACGTTTTAAAGATGTCTTTAAGGAGGTCTAAAAGGCGCACTTGTAGACGTCTAGATCATAAGGCTAAAAGACATCTAAATGAAGACGTCTTTATAAAAACGCGTTTTAGACGTATTTTTCAAGATGAATTTGAGTACATGACGTAACATTTTCGCGTAGTATGTGGTATATATTCATTATATTTATAAAGATATATATTGTTATAATTTCGTATATACAAGATATAAATAGGAACCAGCAATCAAATTAATATTGCTGTAATAACCACCAACGGTTGATGCATCTAAGATGAAAATAATAAGTAACAACAGCAAATATATATCAAAACAGTATTTAAAGCATTTATAACTTACGTTTAATTATTATGAAACTCATCATACGTAATGCTAGCTAATTTTTGACCGCATACTTGACTTATTATATGGCTTGTGGGTGTATAAAAACTAAAAATACTGATATTTAACCTATTTATTATTCTTGCCATTTTCACTTATTATCATGATCAGTCAACTATCTATTAAAAAAGCAAAATAATTATTAATAAAAAAAATATATATTAATATTATAGCAATTGTTGTAGTGATTCCTGCGACAACAATTTTAGCAATTGTGTAAAAAAGTAATTTAATTTAAAGTAATTTACACTTAAAACTTGAACAAATTATTGAAAATAATAAAAACTATGCTTTTACTTTGAATAAACGACATCTACTTCTACTTAACGCGTAATGACAAAGCCGTCAAAAAGAAGTCATCATGACATATTTATAAACAGGTCTCAGAAAAGACGTCTTTTAACGTCTTTTAGCCTTATGATCTAAACGTCTTTTAATGCGTCCTTCAGACTATTTATTATGCGTCTTTTAAAGTCTTTTTAAACTTTAAAAAGACGCATTTTAAACGTCATTTTAAGAACGCATTTTTAAAGACGTCTAGAAGATGTCTTAAAAGATATCTTCTAGACGTTTTTTTAACGCTTAAATAGACGCTTTTAAACGTCATTTTAAAAACGTCTTTATGAAAGACGTCTAAAAGATGTCTTAAAAATTGACGTCTTTTAGACGTCTTTTTATCTTTCAAAAAGACGCCTTTTAACCGTAATTTTAAAAACGCATTTATAAAAGACGTCTAAAAGATGTCTTCAAAACGTCTATAAAAGTGCGTCTTTACCTAGACTAGTTTTAGACGTCTATAAGTGTCGAAAATGCGTCTTGTGCTTACTGGGTTACACATTTTTAATTATTAAAGAAATCTTATGGTGATAATAATATGATGGTTGTTGAAATTCTTAAATTTAATAAAATAAGACGAGTTAATGTAACTTTGAGCTAATAAAAGTTTTAGTTGTAGGAGAAAAGAAATATGGACAAGTTTAAAGATGTAAGCACAACTAGATCAAAGATCGGAGGCATGAGGCTGTTTCGAATTTTCCGAAGAAATACAGAGTTCGAAGTGCAAATTCTGTAAAAATATTTTTAAAACACGTGGCTCAACAACAACAGTTATTACATATAAGGCATATAAAAACATATAATGCAAATAAAAACAAAAAACAAAATTAAAATTCTTAAATGCAATAATTCTGCGCCCGAGGCTGAAAGAAACATTCCTGCTGCCAAAACACCCGGAATTGAAAGGTTTTTTACGGATGACCACAAAATTCTGCTTGAAACTTTGCGGTTAGCATTTCGAGGGCAGTGATTCCAAATCTTTTCATTAAATACTTCAGGTTAGTCAAAAAACAAGTTATAAGTTCTTTGAAAATAAAACCTGTAGATAAAGGTAAACTTAGTCTTACATTTGATAAGTAAACTTCATTAAAAAATAGAAGATATATAAACTTAAATCTACATCACAATAAAGAATTTCAATCGCTTGGAATGTTAAGAATCCAAGGTACAATACCAGCAACAAAATCCATTATATAGATCAGTGATAAGCCTAATTCATTTGATTTAAATTTAGGCAAAGACATTTTAGCAGTAATCAGTAGCATCTGTTACTGATGGAGCTAGCTTAATGAAAAAAATTACTTAAGACGCTACCCATAATATGTGTTACAACAACGCTATTCTATATGTGATTGTGATATGCTGTTTTCAAAAAACAAAGTTGGTGCACACAGTGATGATGAAGACTGGGACTGAAGTTGGTGGTGATATTAAAACTGTTCATACAATTAGTGAAAATTCTATTCCAATATTGAAACTTGAATATTAAGGAACAATTGCAAAAATAAGAAAATTAATTAAAAATTTTGTAGATCACCAGTGAACAATGATAATGAATTTCAATAAAATGTAATTGAAAAGTTTGGAAAATAAAAAGCTTTGGTTTGGGATTTATGGAAAAGATGGAGCAGTACTCTTGATATGCTTGAACGCTTTTTGGAGGTGCAAATAGAAGTAAAAATATCTCTGATTGGTATGAATATTAATTTTCCTCTAACTAAAAATGAGTTTGATGTCATTAATGAACTTTGTGTTGCTGTAAAAGCAATAAAAATGTCCATTAATCTTTTAAAAGGAGAAGCTGATCTTTTGCGCTATGAAATTGTGATTGAATATGCAAGAAAAAAATTTCACGTAGTTAATACACCTATAAGTCAACTTGTTAAACAGTTATTTGAAAATAGAATGATTGAAAAAAGAAACATTTATTTAATTCAACTTATGAAGTACTTTTTAAATCCAAATGCCTTAAATGAAGTTGACAAATTTTGGCAACAAGATTAAAAAGATAAGATTATTGATCTTGCTACTAATCTTATTCAGCAATTATTTCAGCAATTATTTCAATTATTTTTTAAAGCTAACAAAGTTATGCCTAAATATTTAGATTTACTTTTTATAGCTCTTTAAATAACTCCTCCTACATAAGTAAAAGCTGTGAAATCTTTTTTTAGTCTTAGACTGTTTGCAACTAAAACAAAAAAACTCTTCAAATGATGAATGCATTGACGTTTTTAAAGCAAGCTGCAAACATTACTCATCGATATTACTTGCTTTTGTTGTTATTAATGATGATAAACAAATAAATACTTTTATGCATTATTTGATTTTTTTTTTTGTGTATTTTATTATAATTACTTAAAATAAAGTTCAAAATAATTCGAACTTTTCTTTGTAATAGTTCGAACCTGTTCAGTTCTTTTTTAAAAAAGTTCTAACAGGAAACCCTGGCTCTGAAAATAAGGTCCAACTTTTTTTTTGTATATTTTTATTATATTAAAAATCTTCTTTAGATTTATATTTTTTTTGTAATTTTTTATTCTTGTGATCTTGATGTGTAAAAGTTTTAAAGTTGTAAAAGATATGATCAAAAAGATATGATGAAAAAAGAGCATCATAATAAGATCATTATGATCTTTTTTTAAAGCTTTGTTTGTTTGTTTTTTTAACAACAACAAATGTAAACAAGCAGATTAAGAAGAGAGAGAAAAAAAAGGGAGGAGTGGCAGGTACACATGCTTCCCTTCCCCACATTTTTTGTAAAGGACTTTTTTTTATTATTTAGAAAATTGTAGATATTTAGGACTTTTTTATAAAATTGACTACTGTGCCCCCTACTTCGAAGCCCGTGTCGTCGGCCATGTTCTTTTTTGGATCGTTGTTAACTAATTTTTTTTATACAATATAGTTTTTTAAGTTAAAACTTATTTTAGTTTACCATTTTTTATTTGTTAATTTCTACTTCTCATTTCTATACTTATGAAGAAGAAAATTACTTTTTTTAATTTGGTACCTTAACCTCTGTTTGCTATTTATATTTATCACGATTTAACAAAAGTATACTTTTTCGGGAGTACTTTTAGTAAATTTTGATACAATGGAGTATATTTGCGACTAATCACATTACTTGTCAGTCGAGAACCAAGGCCGTATGGGTACATTTTTTGTGTGTGTGTGTTTTTTTTTTGTTTATTATCAATAAATATTCAACAATCAATGGGGTATGTGTCCACTACATCTAGTCACAAGTATAATACAACTTTTAAAAATGTTTAAAAATTTATTCTGACATTTCGGCAGAAAGCCTTTACAAATTAAATTTTTAAACCTGACTTTTTTAAAAACGCAAAAAAAGGACACAAGGGTTAGGGTTCGCGGCTGTCAAACTACTGGGCTTGCTGCAAAGAATAGTTTACACTGCAGAGTTTATTTTTAAACAAATCAGATTACTAATTTTAATAGCAATAAACCAATTAACTTATTCAATTTTCTTATATCCTACACAGTATAACTTATATTATACCTTCAAAGTATAATTTACATAAGCAAGTTTTATAATTTTGTGCTCTACAACTCTATATATGGATATATAAAACTGCACATACAGTTACGCAATAGTATGTATGCAACAAAATGTACAACTGTATAACTGTACTGTAAATCACTTTAATTAAATAAGTTAATAAAAAAACATATTATAAATAATTTTTCATGAATGTCAAAATTATATATATAATAATATATTTCGTGATATTGTTTATTTGTGAACTTTTACTAGTTAAAAATTTTAAACATTCGAAATCTTTTACTGGATGCGACGCAATTATATCGTCTTCGTACTCACATTCGATATTCGACATGTAAAATCCTTGAGTATGTATTGCAGGGATACCTAAATCAAAACGACGAATAAAAGATAATTAAAAAAACAATCAAAAAACATTTATTTAAACAGTATTTTCGGCTTTGAAACTATTTAACATTTTTATAACGAAAATTAAAACTAAATTTAATACTATAAAAAATAAAATGATAAATATATATTTTTTAACTTAGAAATTAATTACCTCCCGAAAATTTTATAAGTTACAAGAACAATTCAAGTTAATTAATCATGTTAGATTATTCTCTAAATCATCTTATCTTCTATTGTCTTTATGGTTTTGAAATAATGGCTGTTTATTAGGAAAAAAATGTGTATTACACACATCTTAAGTTTTACTGACCCTCCACTGGTATTTCTATAAACTACCCGAGATAAAGAAAAAAGCTTAATGAAACAATAGTTTTATGCCTATTTTTTTACTCGACAAAAATTATTAAAAAATCACAGATCACAAGCACATATGAAGATCACAAGCACATAAGAAGATCAGAAGTACATATGAAGATCACAAGTATATATGAAGATCACAAGCACATATGAAAATCACAAGCACATATAAAAAGTATAAAAAATCAAAGTAACAATTTTTAGCATACTTTACGGCGACATTTTGTTTCTGCAAAACAATTAATCCGTCTGTGCCTAATTTAAAGGTAATTTTTATTGCTGTATGATTCTTTAGGAGAATTTAAAATTTAGTAATGGTCTTTTTAACTTCATCTAAAAAAGTCTTCATAAAAATCTTCACAGATATTGACTGATAAATACGAATTAGTACCATTTCTGTTGTTGCGACGGATCTTAACATATTATGTCAAGAATGTGTTTGTATTCGGATTTGAGTTTAAGCGTATCCAAATAATCTCTGTTGTAAGTTTAAACCAGTCTGCTGATTTTTGCACGGAACGGCAGACTACTGTAAATTCCAGTTTCCAGTAGGTCTACAGTATCAAACTGTTTTACAAATTCACAGTCGGCTCAGGCACTGGCGTCACTGCGGCTGACAAAGGTTGAAATAGCTCAATTATGTTTTGTTTATTGTTCATGTTTGTACAGAGCTGATTTAGCGTGTTTTTATTCTTAAAAGTAATTTTTGTGAGCTAAAATCCTCTTGATATAGCCAAAAATTTCTCAGCTGGTTTTTTTAGCACGTGTGCCAGCAGATTTTTTTTATAATGTGAGCCATGGTTATTGACTCTGACAGATTTTGAGTGAAAGAAATTTATTGAAAAACTGAATAATGAGGTGTCATTGTCAACGCGTAAACATTATAAAAAACATGGAGAGAAATACTGTGTGCAAACAGATAACATTCATCAGACAATGTCAACATACATTATTATCTGTTCAAATTAAAGTGATAAAAAAGTTTGAAAAAAAAATAACTTTTTTGTTTATTTGCGACTTAAGACAATGTTTATTAGCTCAATAATTTCCCATGGCCTACTATATTTCCAGCCATATATCTTACATTTTTGAAGAGTACTTACATTTTAGAGCCGGAGTTTTACTGGAAAAATGGCGCTAAATTTTCTATTTTTAAAAAGCAACTCAAGTCTTAATTTTTAACTCGTAGTTCTGCAATATGCAGTGGCAATTCGTTTTCAATATTCTAATTCAAGCTAAAATAAGTATCAAAGATTTTTGTGTAATATTTGTTGGTGAAATATCACAGAAATTATTTAAATCAATATACATTAATATCTATATTATATATTACATTATTCTGTTATATATATCTATATTCATGTATATTTTAACACTATGAAAAAAACGGCAAAAAGTAGTTCAAAGAATCAAATAATATTTTATCAAACTATATGAAAATCTACAACTGGCAAGATAGCAATTTTGATTTTTTTTTTTTTTGCCTATTTTTAAATGTCGTTATGTTGTTATTGGAAACCGAATCCTTCGATAGTTTTTGTTTCTTATTAAAAATACATGAACAAAAATTTTTATAGAAATAGTTACCAAAATTTTATGATTTTTGGCTGATAAATCTCTCTATCTTTAGTTTTATGTATAATAGTGTCATGATTTTCTAATGTATAGTTTCCATTTAAAAAATAAAATTTTGTCAAGCTTTGCATTGCCATTTAACAAACTAACTTGATAAATGTAAGTGTTGTTCCCTTGTTTTTCTAACACACATTTTTGTCTACATCAACTTTTATTGATTCTAATATGCTGTATTAGCATATTAGAACCATATTAGATATTAGATTCTAATATACTGGTATTGTATATAAAAATCAACTAGATTCTAGATTTCCAACAGACCAAACTTAAAGTTGATTTTAAGTTTGGTCTGTTGGAAACATAACAATATAACATGTATAAACAAACGTCATCATGCATAACAATATAACATGTATAAACAAACGTCATCATACATAACAATATAACATGTATAAACAAACGTCATCAGCAATAATTGAATGCCTTTAAAAAATCTAACTAATAAATTTGTTAGATTTTTTTTTAGTTATAACTTTAATTTAGCTGATTAAACAATATTACAATTTTCATATATAAAAAGTAAAAAACATCGTAAATATAAAAACCTTGATAAAAATGATTTTAATTTTTTTATAACATATACAGTATTGGACAAATCATTTGCAACCAACATCGAACAATCCTAAAAAGTGTTCCTAATTTTACATGTCTTAAAAACGAAACGAACTGTACAACCACAGCAAACAGTTCAGGTTTCTGTATTCATAGCATGCAACGACATGAGCAATCAGCTGACAGGTGACAGCAGCATTTCGTTGACAAGTGCCATTTTGCAGCGGACAAAACAAGTGCGACTTTTTTGGTTTGTTTCATTTTCTTAAGTCTGGTCCGTGTCAACGTCAGGGAAGATTTTAATAATTAAAGGAAGTATCCAGAAGTTTCCAGAAATTTCCAGAAGCATACAGAAGCTTCCAGAAGTTTCCAGAAGAAGCATCTGGAAGCATCCAGAAGCATCCAGAAGTATCCAGAAACATTCAGAAGCATCCAGGCGCATCCAGAAGCTTCCAGAAGCATCAAAAGAAGCATCTAGAATCTTCCAGAACAGGTTCACACTGGTTCATTTTACTATATGAGACATGTAAACCGACATGTAATTCAGTCAGTATATGGAAGTCAATCAGTCAGTATTATCAAGACAGTTTATCGAAGTGAGTTTTATCCAAGTGTTTTTTCGAAGAACATCAATACAAGAAGTGAAATACAACAAGTGTTTCATTACATCAATACAGTCCACATCCAATCAAGACGTTGTGTTCCACAGAGCATTATTGTATCATCACAAGGTAAATGTAACACGGTAAGCCTTGAGAAGCGTGATTATTTATTTTTATTATTTTTATGACTTCAAGTACAAACATGGCTCCCCGACAGTCTTGGATTGGAACTAAGAAAGAAAAGTTTTGGCAATTACGTAACTAAAATGTCACAAAAAAGTATTTGTGATAAATATCTCGTAAAAAAATGGACCGTATCAAGACTATGTTCAAAATATCGTTCTACGGGGAAGTTGGTAGCAGATAACAAAGGTGGAAGACCACGTTCCACAACTTCTAGAGAGGATTCTATGATCGTCAGATCCGTCAAGAAGGATCTCTGGATATCATCAGTTGAGATACAAAAGCAATTAGAGCTGCCTGTATCGGACCGAACAATCAGACGACGTGCTGTTGAAGCCGGATTGTTTTCTCGACGCCCTGCAAAGAAACCGCTGATTTCACTAAAGAACCAGAAGAAAAGACTCCTGTTTGCTACATCTTATTTTGACTGGAATGTGCAGAAATGGCAAATTGTCCTGTTCAGTGATGAATCGAAGTTCAACATCATTGGGAGCGATGGCATTTGCTGGGTACGTCGACCGGCCGGAAAACGCCTCGATTTACATTACTGCCATAAGAACGTGAAGCATGGTGGAGGCAATGTAATGGTCTGGGATGTTAATGTTTTTCTGTTAACTAGGTCCAATACATCAAATCAATGGAACAATGGACCGTTTCATGTACAAAAATATCCTGAAAGATGTTATGTTATCTCATGCTGAATGGAATATGCCAATAAAATGGGTTTTTCAGCAAGACAACAATCTGAAACACACTGCAAAAGTAGTCAAGCAGTGGTTTCAAGACAACCACCAATCGGTAATGGATTGGCCGCCTCAACCTCCGGATCTCAACCTTATTAAGAACCTGTGGGAGATCGTCAAACGCAGAATTAATTGTAAAGGTGTTCGTAATAAGGATCAACTGTTTGAACAAAACCAAAAGGCCTGGGCAGCGATTCCACAAAGTTTAATTGATCAGTTGATCGATTCTATGCCTTGAAGATGCAAGGCTGTGATCAACAAAAAAAAATTCGTCACGAAATATTGATAGCGAAATAGAGCTTGGTCAACATTTTGTGGAGTTGCACGAGTTTTGTCCAGAAGGAAAACAACTTTTTTTAATACTTTTGATTAGTTTATTAATTTTCGTGTACAAATAGTGAACTTTGTGATGAATAAAACTTGAAGAACGTTGTCTCTAAACAGTTACATAGTTATTTCTCTATATTGAAAAAATGCAGCACTTGTTTTGTCCGATACTGTAGGTCTTTTTAGGTCTTTAATATTTTTATTTTGGAAATGATTCCAAATTAATGGACCACGGTTTGTAATTAGAAAACTTGACTGCTGTGATTTAATTTTTCCTAGGTGATAGTTGTATCTGGTTTTTGAACGCAGATTATATTTTTATAAAATGATATCAAGATTGTAGATTGTTCTTATACTTACACAAAAATTAATATCTGTAATGTGTTAAGTTGCTCTATATCTAGAACCATTCATACTATAAGTTAGGTGACCTAACTTATGAATTGCACAATCTAACATCTAGTGTATAATCTGTCCGCTTTCTCTATGCTATCTTTCTAACGAGACCTTTTGACTTTCACTCTAAATCCTTTGTTTTTCTTAAAATCACTTATTCTTGGTCTTCAAAGCTATTATT